GAAGAAAAAGGGAGCAGACCCACAAACATAATGGAGGGCGTATAATTAAATAATAAATTTGGGTTTAGAAAGTAGAAAATAGATTTCTGATCTATAGAAAAAATATAGCAAAGGGCTCCTTACACCAGGAGCACTCTCATCCACAAACCTAAATGATGCTGCTACTGTGGTTTATGAAGGGGGTTCAAAGAAGCAAACTTTTCACGAAATGTTGCTGTGGAAATTGTCCCAGCAATAAAAGGGCTATCAATCTTCTCCAAAATGCCACCCACACACTATCCAATTAATTTGTCTGACACTCCCGAGACAGAGCAAAGGGATCGTCCTCCAAGCTTGTTGCTCCCTTAAGAAATGTTTCACCAGATTTCTACGATACTTCTATGATATTACGCCTCTTCTATTCTGACAGCAATCTCTCCACACCCTCACACGTATTTAAGCATCGACTGTGACTATTGCTCTTGAGAACTCGAGTCTGTTGGACGGAGGAACCTGGGAGGAGATGTGTCCTCCTGACCTATTTATAATCCAGCACTAAGTGGGGACACGCGGTTCCCCCGGCACGGAGCAGCAGCTGCCCTCAGGGACCAGCTGGACCAAACCTTTGTCTCTGCTTTTAACTAGATGAATGAAAGATTTTTTTATTTTTTTTAATGCAATGCCTCAGTAAACTTTCACAAAACATTCCTGGAGCAAGGAGGGCTGTTTAAAGATTAACACTTCTGCATAACATTTAGATGGATATTAAGCAGCTTTTCACCCTCCGACTGACTGCAGCTAAGACCATCCCAAATAACCCCCAATACGATAAACTTGATAATCCCAACTACATACTTCTTGCGCTCTTCATTCGATAGCACTGCTATTTCACTACTGCAAGTGGGGAATAAACATAAATCGGATGAGATTTGCTCTAGAAGAGCAAATTCCAGTGTTAAGAGCCAAATTTCAAGTACTGTGTTTTAAAGAACATTGCATTTGACACAGCAGATTTAGTATCTTATTAAAAAAAAACCCTACTCTTGCTCTCACAAGTTAAATCACATCTTTATCACAGACTTAACTTTGAGTAAATGCAAAAAGTCTGAAGATTAAAGAATTAGATCAGACCCACCTCTTTTAAAGCACCCAAGAGCTTCCCTAGTAGCAAGACAAGAAAAATAAAAAGCAGGAGAAACAGCAACACCCAAACCTCAAATCTCTGCCTTTTAAAACACCTTCACCTACACAGAGAACAGAGCAAGCATCTACGCTGACCAGGCGAAAGCTCAGGTGCTTTTGGAGGACAGCTCTGGGTGATAAACTCATCGACGCCAGACTACCTGCACCCCGGGTGCCGAAGAGGCCACAGCCCCAAACGCGGAGCGAGACGTTACTGCGGAAAACTAGCCCGGCCCGGCCCAAGGCTAAAAAATGTCAACAAGGCGTTACGAAACTAAGCCCACCGAGGAGGACTTCTGCTACCTGTATCAGCCCAGTGCCCAGACCCCTGGCAGAAAGGCAAGGGCTGGGGCTGTGGCCGCCTCTGCCAGGCAGTGGCCCAGAGCCTGTACACCAGCTGCTTTGAAAAACACAAAGGTGCCGAGATCCCAAACTTGACAGGAACAACCCCTCCGCCCCGAACCCAAATATGCTTTGCACCCACGACCAACTCAGACCTCGCTCTCCGGTGTTGCCCGGCCAGCAGCGAGGTGCCGGTGGAGGAGCTTGTGCCGGGGCAGGAGGCAGAGCCAGACGCCTTTGGCTCAGCATCAGTACCCCCCAGACCTCATCCTGGAGCACAGCCCCGGTGAGCACCGGCATCCCAGAGCAGCTGGCGCATCCTCCACCATGGAAAATCTAAAGCCGCGCGGGAGGCGGTGAGGGGTCCCTCAGCCAGAAAGGGAGAGGAACACCGACACCCGCCAACAAGGAGACTTAAAAACTAAATAAAAAAATCTGTGTGGAATTTCAAACCCCAAGATGAATCCATGTTGGAGCACCAAAAAAAAAAAGCAGGATTGTCATATGCCTCCCCCGCCCCCAGGAAAAGGCGAAGCTCCTTCTCTGAAGTTACTCATCGTTCTGAATCACACCTCCCCGGGCACACCTCAGTTCAGAGCCGGCTCCAGCTCCATCACAATTCGTCTCTGTTTCCGTGTGGATCCCGAGAAGTCAATACTTGGTGCTTAAACACGAGCAAACACCACTTTCGATTAGCACCGGCAACTTTAGGAGTGATAACTAAGCCCTGTACGTTCTCACAAGGTATATTCCTCTTTTGCATATGACAAAGAAAAAATAAGGTATAAATCTTGCCCCTAGCTACACTACAAATCAATCGCAATTAGAAACGTAAAAGCATTAGTTTAATTTTATCCCCTCAACTGCTGAACAAGGATGCTTCAGGCACCACCCCCAAAAGCCGGGCTGTGTTTGGGATTGCGGAGCACATCCTACGGTGGGGCTCACTGGCCCCACAGCCTACGGTGGGGCTCATCGAGAAATTACATTTTTAATGGGTTATCAGCAGCCGTTTTGGAAACGCTGAACAAGGCGTCGCACACAGACGCTTTGTTTTGCTGCGTGTCGGCGGAAAAAGGGGATTTTCTCATGGGCCTGAGTGCTGGTGTCAATGCGGTGAACTTTTAGGATGACATGGGGGGGTAAAAAAAAAAGGGAGGGGGGAATTTAAGCAGTTACACCTGTTTTGGTAGAGGAGGGCGAGGAGGCACAGCCTCCTCCCACAGGCACGAGTGGCAGCAGAGCTCCGGCAATCCCTTATCATTGACTGTAAGAGAACCACGAGGAAACACGAGGGGAACCCCCGGCAGCGCCCCGTGGGTCTGAGGCAGGAGGAGAGGGACAAGCAAATTACTTTCTCCAACCCTCTCCCGTGCCGGCAGCGGCCACGCGTGGGAGGAAAGGTTCGGCGGCTGCGGGGGCTCGGACCCCCCACCCCCACCCAACTTCTTGCGGTAACTGCTTGGCCC